CCTTGGGATGTCACCAAAGGCAGAGCAGATGGGACTGTCAAAGTTGTGCTGCCCTCCCTCCCACAAACAGATGAATCCAGCGTGGAGAAAGGCGCACCGCCCCGAGCTGGAGGGCCTGGCTCCCACCACGCCCCAAGTGGCTGCAGGTAGCTGGACTTCCTGCCCGTGACGCACAGACAGCACCGGACTCCGGAGCCTCAGCCTGCCTTAGTCCTTGGTTCCTCGTTTTTTGGGATTGTCACACTGTGAGACTCAGAGGAGGAATGAGGTCCTATCCTGGGCTGCTCAGTGTTTCCAGGCCCCATGTGCCAGAGGCCGGGTCTCTCCAAGTGCATCTGGCCTGGCCTGGAGGGCAAGGCAGATGCATTCTCCTGGCTGCTGGGAGAGCCCTTGGGAACCTTGCTTAGCGCCCAAGGTAGATGAGAGACAGGACAGGGAATCTGCGTGGTGCTGGGGTATAGGGACTCTGGCCTCTCCAGACTAATGTTCCTGTCACCTGCTGAGCTTTCCCAGTGTCACTTCTACAGTCCTTCTCTGCTCACCCCTCCCTCACTCTGTGGGCAATTCCCTTTCTCTCTGTCACTGCTACAGCAATGAAGACCCACGGCACCTAGAAATGCATCCCAGCTTCCTGCGTCTACCACGCTGCAGCTCGAACAAGAAGCTCAGAGCTGCCCCTTCCACTTCCTCCCCGAAAGGGATGAAGAAAACCCTGTGGTAGAACCAAACCACCCAAGGCCAGCCCTTCAGCCTGCCTCCTCCTTCCTGGTGCATGACAACATATTTCTTTTGTCTCAGAGGACTTTGATGCTTCAAGATTTAATGATGAATCTGCCACACTCCATTTTCCCCCCTCTGTAGCTCCCAACAACTCTGACAGGGTCAGATCTCTTTAAAGCATCTTCAGGAGATGGTTGCCACGGAGACTGGATATTGGTCCCAGGGACAGGCTGTGCTACCTACTGGGTGGTGGGGAGGGAAGCTTCTGGCCATGCTTGGACATTCAAACCAACCATCATTAATGTTAATAGAGGAAATGCAGCAACATCAAAAGCAAGGCAGGTTGGTTAATTAGATCTGGGGCCTGATGACCTCCCTCTCCCACCGCTACAGCCCTTTTGACCTCCCCCAGCAGGAAGCGCTGTCTGTGCGGCTGAGTCTGGGCTGCTTGCTTAATTGCATTTCTGGCAGGGAAGGAGAGGAGGGATGGAGAAGCTCTGCTCCCTGCTTCCACCTCACCATGTTTCCTCCCCTCCTCTCCCTTCCTCTCCTCCCCACAGGCAGAATTGCTTTCTTCTGAGCCGGGTGGGCTCTTCTGCAGGTAGAATGCAGGGATCTGTGCTTGGCTCTTAGCAAAGCAGGTGGCCCACAGTGACCTCCAGGAGGTGGCTGATTTTCCTTTGTGCCTTCTTGTTTCTCAGTAGGAACTTGGAAGGGAGAAGCTCTGAAGGAGCCAGAGGGGCAGCCACCCCGCATGAGGGTGAGGAAGGAGAAGCCCAGCAGCCTCTACCCATCCCTCCCTCCCAGTTAGGCTGCACTGGGGCCAAACGCTTCCCTGGGCTCCCACTGCCTTCTAAGGAGCCAAGGAGAATTTCCTGCCCACTTTCTCTTCCTCCATGCCCAAACTGGCAGGTGCTTCTCTGGGGGCAAGGTCACATGGGTTGATGTAGCTTTGAGTGCTGAGGTTCTGTTTTCTGCAAGATGCTGGAAAAAGGCTGTCAGGGTGCTTCTCTGAATATGGGCTTTAGCCTTAGCACTGGCAGAAACGTGATGTGTCCCACAAACCGCTGGTAGAGGAAGATGTTCGTCAGTCCAACCTCCATCCAGCTTCTTGAGCCTATTTGGTTTAAAAAAAAAAAAAAAAAAAAGGCTTCTAATCAGAAGCCACTGACTTTTATAATAAATAGCAGTTGTTTTGAATGCCTTGTTGTCCTTGTACTTAATTGAATCTGACTTGCCCTCTGGCTCCCAGAAAGGCCTCCCTGAGAAGAATGTTTTGAGTGCAGGAACCACCCTGTGTGTCATGTCTGAGGCTGATCTAATTCCAGCAGAGGCCCTGGGCTGGGCAGGTGAGCCTGATTACTCCAGGGGGCATTTGGATCTCCCCATGTATACAGTTATTTGAGTAATGTTGGTTGTCATTTTGGTATATTTAAACTGACTCCAAAATAAATAGGAAGCTGGACCTCTGATTTGTCCTCTTTCAACCTGCTCACACGGCATAGAAAGGAGTGCAAGAAGAGGTACAGTTGTCCCCTTCCCAGACAGCCGAGTGTCCCAGCACTGGAGCAACTTGCCATTCTGCCTAACAGAGTCCCGCATCTTGACAGGGGTCTCCTGTTATGAGGAGTGATGCTAAGGATCTGAAGGCAGCAGGAGCTGACCTGAGTGTTGGACAGAGAGTGGGGGAGGGGAGCAGCACTGTGCTGTGGAACTGGGGGGCTTCTGGACTGCCTAGCCACCCTCTGGTGGGGGCTGGTGGGGAGAGAAGGGCATGTGGGTCTTCAGGAGGTGGAACATGCCTACGACAGGCAGGTTAGGAAGGGACCAAGTGGCTCTTCCTTGAGTGGCACTGCTTCGTTTACAAAGTCTCAACACATCTCTGACATTGAATCCTCATAAAGGCCCAGTGAAGTCGATGATGTTTCTGTGCCCGTTCTACCCATGAGAGATTAAGTGACTTGCCTTAAGGTCTCGCGATGGGTAAATAGTAGAGCCAGGACTCAGTGCCAAGTTGGGGTTTTTCTGCCTCTCTAGTCTGGTCCTGGGACTAGAAGCACCTTCCCAGAACAGCCTGGCAGCCCTAAATACCCGGGAGAGAAGGCCTGAGCACTCAGCCCGAGGTCCCTGAGCAGCACCTTCCCATGGGCCTTCTGCTTAATGCATCGGCAGCCGCTCATCTAGGGCCCAGGTTTTCCAGGCTCTCCCAGGTGCACCCAGATCAGTGTGTGCTGGTAGATGTTTAACAACAGGTGTTCTGGGAGGAAAAACTGGTGTGTATAGCATTTGCCAATTTCCATGGTGTAAATATTCCCAGTATGTTCTTTTTTAAGCTACCAACTTGATGCCACTGAAGGAGAAGTTGGAAAAAGATGCGTACAGTTGGTTCTTGAAAGCCATATAAATGCTGGCTCCAGCACACTGCTGACCCAGACCTGGTGACCATGGCTTGGTCCGAACTATGGTGGGGCTCTTGGCCACAGCCCATTAAAGCAAGGGAGGCATGGAGGCCTACAGGATGGGAAAGAGAGACCTGAGGTCAAATCCTGGCCCCATTGCTTATTACCTATGTGACCTTGGGCTAGTTATTTAACCTCTTTGCCTCTGTTTCCTGAGCTGTAAAACGAGGGTATGATAAATAGCACCTACTTCGTAGAGTTATTGTGAGGATGAAGAGAGGAAATGAAGTAAGGTGCCCAGAACAGTGTCTAGACATAAATGCCAGCTCTGTATTATTAATGATACATGGACCTCAGTGACCAGCACTGGCTCTGGGACAGTACTTGAACTCTCCTCTAGGTTCTTACCTCCTGGGCGGATGACCCACAGGGAGCAGACTCCTGTGACTTTTACCGAGCCCCTCAAATGTGGGCTCAGACCCTTGGTCTCCTGGTGGGGGGAATACATCACTCTCGTCGCTTAGGCCCATTCAGATTCTCAGGCCTTTCTTGAAGGAACCAGGGATACAGTGCACTTACCTTGGCTTGTCTTACTTAGCACGTATCTCCTGGCTCTAGCAAGACAAAGAGTGAAGCCATGGTTTGAGTGCTGACTCCACTTACTAGCTAGGTCCATTAACCCCCACTACCTCATCAGACTCCAGACCGTGGCCAGAGGAGAGAGGAAGCAAGATGGGTCCTAAGTGTAGACTGCTGGCAAGAAGCGCAAGCTGGGTACAGTGGAGTATCTTAGACCAGCCAGGTGGCCCGCACAGAGCACTGAGCATCTGGGCACTGAAGAGTGAAGCTCACCAGTGACACATAGCCTTGCCCTGTGACCTGTTGCACCTGGCTGCAGGTCCACAAGACCCCAAGCTGGAAGTCTAATCACGTCTTGTCCCTTCAACCCCCATCCCTTTGTGCTCTTGCTTGGAGACCTCCTGGACCTTAGGACACCAGCATTTCCAGGCTGCCTTACAGCCTTGCTCCCCTGCTCCAGCCCAGAGATTTGTGAGGAAATGGGAAATAGAATAGGGGATACCACAAACTCCTGAGTCCTTGGAAGAGGGAGAACAGCTACATGGTTTCCTGGGGCATGGCTGGGAGCAGGAAAGAAGAGTTCTGCTGAGGCACTCAGTTCTGATTCAGGGCCAGAAGGAGACATTTTCAAGACCAGGACTCACCACTCCATGTCTAACACAGGGCTGGGCATGGAGCCCCAGCTGTTCATAACCGGGGACTCGGGAATACCCACCTTCTACCCATGGACCCAAAGGAAGTGGACTAAAAGGCCCCAGAGGCCTCGCCAGCCAACCCCCTTGCTGCACAACTGAGGAAACAGGCCCAGAGAGGTGTGGACAGACAGAGGAGATAGGCTTGGAGACCCCTGAGGGAATAATGAGAGAGAAATAAAGGTGAAATGGGCTTGCTCTCCCTAACCTGGCCCACCAGCACTGGGCTGGGCTCTGAGGAACTTCTGCTTTGAAACAGAAAAGTTTAGTTCTAATTGACAGTTGGCCAACTGCACACCCTGAGTGAGGAGCATGGATTCTATCATCTGGACTTCTACTGAAAAATTAAACAGTACTTCCATTTAAAAAAAAAAAAAAAGATTAAAAATCATGGAAGTGGGGAGGGCCCAGGGAGGGGAGAGGTGAAAAATTAAAATTAAAATTAAATCATGGAATGGTAGAATGTTAGAGCTGAACTCCCTCAAGATTCCACCCTGGCCAAGCAGAGCTAGAATTAAGTTTCCACCCTGGCCAAGCAGAGCTGGGATTAGAACTTGATCTCAGGGATTTCTAAAGATGGAGTCTCAGAAAAACCCAGGCCTGGCTGGGAATGGCTGTGGTCTTGGCCCTGTCCCTACGGCTGAAAGCCCTGGTGGTCCCCAACGTGTGCTGGTGCCCTAGTCAGACCGAGAACTAGGCCCCTAGGCCGCCTCCCAGGCCTGACCTGCAGGCCAGGTGGGTGGCAAACTCAAATGCCTCCAGCAATGCGTGAGTTGAGGGGCCTGTGGAGAGGGGGCGCACGCAGCGCCTACCTGAGGCGACCAAATTCAACACAGTGCCCTCGGGGCTCGGGAGGAGAAACTGAGGCCTGGAGAGCCTCAGCGATGTCTCTTACGTTCTGCAGGCCGGGCCTTTCGCAGGCCACCAGGTCGTCGCTGGCCAGAGCGGCTGGCGGAGGGAGCGCGCGC